CCTATCTAATGTTGGGACGCACGATTTCCAATTTGTCGCAAAATTTATAGAAACATGACCGTATATTGTGAATGTTATGAATCACAAAAGCGAAATTTCTTGGCAACTGTGCATGTGTCGGGATGGGGGACGGTTTTAAAATAGATATATTCCTGGGTCAGCATTATTGTGAAAAATAAGACCGAAACCTTATAGTTAAGATAAGGATAAGGATTTTGATTTTGTAATTATGTTTTACACCACATGCTTTTGCAATTAATAAATAATTATTGCGTTTAAACGGCAGCTTACTGTGTTACATGACCTTATATGGAATTTCTCATTCGCCAAACTACACTGTAGAGACAAAATATAAGAAGAGCATGTTTCGTAATTTCACTAAATTTTTATATGGTCATCTGGGGACAAATTTCTTGACAACATTGCCGTCTGGACTATAACAAAAAAGTGACATTAATGTAGAAAAGAATAATATCGTAACATCGATATATGTTTCCATCAAATTAATTTCTTGTGCAATCGAAATCAATTTAATAGAAATGCATTTATATTTTACTTCTGCATGATATTTATATGGTCAAACATGTGATAAAAATCGCTCTCAATTCCCCAAATTATACTAAAATGTAAATTGATATGGAAGATATAAAACAACTCAATATTCACAATTTTATTCACAATTTTATTACGATGCTGGAATTGATTTTATAATAGTACAACATTTATATGTAAAGGTAAACGTTCGGAAGATTTATACTCTTTCCTTTTGTTTTTATCAAAGATCTACAGTCGTATGAATACTTCCTTCAACAGTTAATTTCAGATTTCTGTATGTCCTTTAAGAATGATAACTCGGCTTCATGTTTACTGGAATTCAACACAAAAAGTAAAGTTGAAGACTAATGGCACTTACGCTGTTGTGACTAATTGGCGTCTGAATATTTGTACGTGACTAATTTTACAATAATCAAAATCAATCTTCAAAACAATGCAATTATAGAGAATGTTTCTCGGTATCTATGATCATCAACAATAAATTGAAATATGAAAGGAACGTATTCAAGGAACTCTCGACAATTCCTTGTTCCATAAGAGTTATTTTTCAAAGTGAATGCACTTTCTGATGCCTCCCTTTCTCTATGTAATTATCACGCCAGCCAAAGTTCGAGCACATCTTGACATGGCAAGTTATTACGAACTTCGTACTTATAAATAATAACTTGACATTGTTAAGATGAATCGAGCCGGTTTTGGACTATTCATGAATCAGTCAAGCTCCACGAACACCTTTCGATTATCAATGTTGGTTCGCTGCTGTCATATGATAATCCTTTAGCTTGTATGACACATCGTGGTCGATTGGTAGTAGAGAACTAATACATGTACGTAATAAAATTACCATTTATCAAGTTCACAAAATGGTTATAAATAAACTAGATTATTTATTATTAATATTTTAGAGATCTAGCAAACGATAAATATCTCTTACGGTGGCATTTCTAATAAAATAGAGATGTTGCTTAGGAAAGAGAAGTCTCTTTGTAAAGAGAAAGAAAAGTTGACTACATGTAAAATTAATGAACTTGGTAGTTGTTCCCAGGTTTCAATCTAGTAGAATTGTGAATGGGCTACAGTTATTTATTATGAATGATATTTTTTAGTCTATTCACTTACACGTCCATTGGTGTCAAAGATTAATTGAATATCTGTAATTGTGAATATCTTTCGGGGAAGGGAGGGTTTGGTTTTCTAACAATTGTACAGGCCTAGAATGGAACAAACACTTCATTAAGAAATTGAAATAAACGACCCAGAACCTGTTGGGTATTTGTATTCTGTTCGGATTTGAAAGTACGAACTGATACCATGACTGCAATAAATAGTCACCCTTCTTGTATCATGGATGTTTTTAAATTCAGCGATTTGATTGGATTGTACTCTAGCCAATAGAACCCATCGGAAGCCTGGCGTACAGTCCATTCAAATCGCTGCATTTCGTGATACATGAATAGTGACTATTGCAGTCCAGGTATTTGTAAAAAGTTCGATATAGGTTGACATTGAGAAGATGAGAGTTTTAGGCCTGTGTGTTGAAAATTACCGGACTGTAAGTAATGCAAGATAATCAGTTGATATTAGTTTTATATACATCTTCTATTTTTGTGGAACATGGTGTTTACAAACAGGTTGGCGCTGTTCAATCGTAATTCAAAGATGTATTCTTCTTTGACTCTGAAAAATCTACTTCTTTATATTTTATATTATGCATTGTCTAAAGAAGTTCGTTATGTTTTCAAAGACATTCCATTTCGAAATCAAAGCTATTTATCTATACTTATTTATCTAGACTTATAATGGTCTTAATGGTCGAAAGAGTATTGTTATTCTATCGTTTCCAATATTCATAACCATGTCTAATATAGTTTTTGACGATTTTGAGACTGTGCGTTGGAATTGACTTCATTATCTCGTGAAAGTATTTGGATTATTTGCCAGTCTACGACTAGACGCGTTTATCAAATTTCTTGCTTATTCATTCAAGGCTACAATTAGAAAATTAGGGATGAATGACTGAACAATTATTATGGTCATAAAGTCATTCAGTTCTATTCCTCGCTTGTTTGTTCCTCGGGTATTTTCAAGCCTCGTATAATTCGCTGACTTGATATAGAGACATGGAAATAAGGGAAAAAAAAAGGAAACTACTAAAGTAAAATATAATCAATTACAACCGTGGTCAGCACAAATTGGATTATCAGTCTTCACAAATACCGACATTATTTGGCAAATAGATTGACATGCCTCCGGTGTACAGATGACATCCATCAATAGCAAATTATGTAGATTAACTCTAAACCAATTACACAATTAGCGAATTGGAAAAGTAATGATGAGGCTAAGTTGACAGTCGGATATTTTAAAGAGTTTCTTTTTGTATGGGATATGCCACTCGTCATTAAATTATGATCTAACGAAATAGTGTTGCAACACATGCTGTAGGTCATTAGAATATTCAACCAATCGAATGTTCTGTTTCTGCAATATTCATTGTGCTTGGATGCAAACTTGTACAATTTTCTTGTGTCATATGGTCACTATTCGACTAAATACAATTCTCATTCTGTGTTTACACAGTGTTCAAGATCATGATGACCGAGACTACAGCTAAAGTTCAGAAAAGTCGAAAGGTTTATATCAAGGTCAGTACTAGATAAGAAAGACTATTATGATAAATCCCGGATAAAGATTTTCAGATGATATGACAGATGTCGGCAATGGCTGGATAAAATCCGGGATGACCAAATATAAGTAATGAGTAATATTAAGAGGTTCGGGATAATTTCTGGGTGTCATAGATCGCGTGATGTCATTCTTGCCATCAGATACCCGAATTAAAATCATTAATCACTAAGATTACATGATACATACTTTAATCAAGACCTTAATGGTTAGATGATCGAAACCGAATCTATTAAACGACGGAACAAAATTTGGTGGTATACTACTCCTTTTATTGTACACGTTTCAACATTTTATATTGTCGTTATTAGATTCAAATGATGATGACAAGGTAGATTTGTTGAGAATTGTGTACAATAAAATTAATGAGTAGTTTACCATACAATAATTGTGTTCCATTATTTAATGTGATCTGTACCCTTAAATGTCGTTCAAGGATTATAAAGAGTATTAAGACGCCTTAAAAGAATCAAGGTCAGACAACTCTTGATGCTCAAGACTTAATCTAAGAGTTGATTCTGTAACGGTTTCATGGTTCAAGATCTCAGACTAATATAGAGCTTCTATAAGAAGATCAATGGTACACAGATTGAATATTTAGCATTGAATTATCTCATATTATCTCTTTAATAGTTCTTATCTATTCGTCACAAGTTCGAGAAATCATTTCGTATTGGCACAGTAATCTGCTTACATCCTTTCATTGGAAAATCTCCTGAATCGGGGGCATGTTGACTGAATATTTAGAGAAGATGTATGGATTCGGTGGACGCCGACTTGAAGCCTTCAGCAAATATCATACAAATTTGATAACAGCTAAGTGCATGACAAAAAGACACCTGTAGTGGATTATTATCATATTAGCCATATCATGTTTCAAAATTTGATTGAGTCGTCTGAATTGAACACATTTGTGAGAAGAGCTGGTTTGATCAATTATCACTATTAATCCATTTTGCCTGCATGCTAACATGAACATGGTGGTATTTTCATTCTGAAATATTTCACAGAAAAATAAATTCCAATTGCTCTTGATCTCCTTGATCTAAATGCGTGGTGGCAAGTCACAGGCAGGATGGTGTAATAACAATAAAGTGTATAAATATTATGTAAAATTGGCCGATTAAATAGATACCCATCATAACGTCTTGGAAGAGGTTAAACATAAAATTGTCACGCTATATCATCATTTATAGAAATATATTTTATTTTGACATCTAAATTAAGTTATATTCTACTTTCTATGGTCGTAAAAAAAATATATTAAACATATAAGTGGATTTTTTAGTAAATATTTTCAATTTGATCAATTCTGATCAATCAAAATGTCGGTGAAACGTGAACTCGAGTGGAAATGAATGAATATGCATAACCATAATTTGATACTGGAGTTGCCCTTAAATCGAATTTGTTCAATTTTTATAATCGCACTTTGAAATGTAGGTGTATATTGCCGTCGTCTCTGTCCGTCCATAATTAGCACTTTTGGCAGTAGGAGCCATGTTTTTTTGTGTAGGGTTATGCTCACAAGATCACGGACCAGTTCGAATTTTGTATAATTCGACAAATATTGACGAAGTTACAGATATAAGTGATAGAGGCCATAGTTTGTTGTCAGATTTCTATCATAATTGGCGTGTAACATTTTTTACCGATGTGATAAATATATTGTATTAGCCTGCTTGAGAAAGAGACTTAAAAATATAATTTCACTTACATTGAAATTTCTATCATATATTTGTTTTTATTTCTCTTTTCAGACCATGTCTGTATGCTGCTCCGTGCTTACTTTGTGTGCCATCAGTGTAGAGAGATATTACGCTATTTGTGATCCACTGAAAGCCAGAATTTCTTTCCGAAAGGTCATTGTTACCATCATCGCTATATGGATAGCATCTGCTTTGGTGTCGCTACCCAACATCCTGTACATGTACCTAGCCACCTCCTACCCCGATATACCAGAATATCTGACGTATTGTCAAATGGCGTGGTCCAATGAAACCGACATGATTTACAAGTCCTTTCTGGTCATAGGTCTCTATTTGTTACCCATCTTGGTCATAGGAATATTCTATTCCATAATATCGAGACATCTTTGGGTATTGGCCATACCCGGAGCCACAGTAACAGGTAAGTGAACTTGTTTCATATTGATTCTCGAAATTGATTATATGTCGTTATAACCAGGTTTGTCAATTATACGAGAGGGTGCATTGAGTTCGGGGTCACTTAACTCTTTGATTTCTGCTCTGGGTCGACATACGAGAGGCGTAGGAGCAGCCCAATATTTACAGCAAGAAATACAGATAGCAGAACTGTTGATCGCGGAAAGGATGAAGCAAGAAAATAACAGCTAGGTCTAGCTGTATGGACTTACAGGGGGCTTAAATGAGTGTCAACTACAGATATATATAGCAGCTGATCTGCTGATCTGTTTGTCATGACCCAGCATTACAGCGGCTATAAACTCTCTCTCGTACATTACCAGAATTTACTTCAGGTCAAAATCACAGAATAAAATTCAAAGCATTAACTTATCTTTTCAAAGATAAAAGCGACCAACAACCTAATAAATATGTAAATGAGTAGGGTATTAACCTATTTGAATATAGAAGAAAGTAGGAGGAGGGTTCATCCTCTTACTTTCTTGGTCAAGTGGAAAGATAAAAGAAATTTAGCGAGACATTAAGATATAGGAAATTCTCATTCATAAACAAGTTTAATGATATTATGAGCTTGTTTACTCTAATTTGGTGTAAGTGTCCATCAGGCTGCTGTCATCGAACAAAAACAGCTTACAAATATACACAAACAAACTATCAAAGTAGCAAAATATCGGAAATGACTTCAGTGCAATTTATGGTCATTTGAAATCAATAATCATCAAGAATCAATAATCATGATTTCAATTAAACCATTTCGAAGACAAATTGTAGCTCAGTCCGTTGTAGCATTTGATTCTTGACGTCATTTGATTTGGTATTTAGAACAAATGGTGGTCGTGGGTTTAAAGTTTAATCTACGAGCAAAACTCCGGTAACCACGAATAAGTAATCTTTCTTCATTATCACAATCGTTAGATGGGTACGGATAATCCAAGAGAGATCTATAACAAGTTGTTATTGAGCTGGTAAATAAGTCATTATTCATCCCAGATTTTTAACTTTTCATAAATATGATCCTTATAAATCCTTTATCGGCGTGGTATACGTATATCATGTGTATGTATGGTTTCGTGCTTTTACGTGAATGATATTTATAATGCTGAATGACATGAGGTTATTATTGACATATTCTAGTTGGTCGTTGACCTTGTTTACTGCGTATTAAATGACATGCAGCGTATTGCCGTGTTGGTAGACCTACTAGAAAAAAGTACTCCCAATTTATCGATCTACATCGTAAGCATAAGTATATTCCTTTTATGCAGTTGGTATTAACGAATCTGCAACATGATGTCAGCACCATCAGCAAAAAGATATATTGCTGTTGGTCCTGTTGTTAGTTCTGGTGGGCTTCAGTATGGTGGGGTAGCCCTTTAACGAATCTGCAGCAGCGTATTGATTAGTCCATAATTCTTGGTGGTCATTAACAATATGTATTGTTTATGAATCAAACTGTAAATTAGCCTAATGACGAAGTATGTTTTGTTCTATCATTTGTGAAGGCAGTGGTAAGATAATGGCTGAATATAGTACCAAGCTTAGTACCTCGTAGATATCTATCAGAGTATTATTGATGTCATAAATTGACATGTAGTTAATGATAATAATATTTTTCCGTGACAAACCAACTGTATAATATAGCTTATATATGTCTTATTTTGATACCAATAAATGGCATGTCTGAAGGTTTATCATATATATTATTAAATTTTATTGGTATTTAGTAATAAATAAATTCAACATGAAAAAAAGGCATGTATTATTAAATGTATTTAATATTTAGCAATATATATATTCATCATGAAATTTCCAATAGCGTAAATCTTGAAATTTTAGTACAAAGTTCCTTTACAGTTTACTGAGAAAATTTCTTCGGGTTTAATTTTCATGAATCTCGTTAACTTGTTCACATCTCCACGAAGATAATACTTTATCTTCAAATACATGTATTCCTCTCTAAGCATATTGCAACGAAAATCAGCAGTCTAAGTTCTCTGGTTTGATTGGAAGATACTATTTATCTGATGCTCAAACGTTTGAGCGATCTACATAAAACGATTTTGATTGGGTTGGATTACTGTCGAAAATACCTCTTGATTTTCAGATTGCTCAAATATAATTCTGATGAACTCCTCGAATTTCTGACCAAAACTGTGAAATTCTAATAGCTCTTCCAGACTTCTCAAATTCTGTGAGAGGTGATGCTCAAGATGATATGACATTTTCCTCAAAGATCTGTCGATAGTGTCTGATTAACATGTCAAAACACCAAATCTGTATCCGTTAGATATATTATTTAATTCATTTGGTGTCATTGGATAATTAGCTTCTGGACCTTTCAAATTATGCCGACATGGTCTTGATTAAATTTTAAAAAACAATTTCCTTAATTTTGCTCTATTCGATTCAAGATTGCTGGATTATGCCTCTTCAGGATTGTACATTGAAACAGAGGGCAACTCTCCCGGATGTTGCTGAAATACCCCATCCACATCTATCACCATTCCCCTTTAACAGAGTTGTAGATTGCTGAAAAGGACGGATGAATGTCAAAATTTGAATAACAAGAATGGAAATTTGAAACAATAGATAACGACATTTGATGGAAAAACGTTACATTGGCTTCTTTTATTTTCAAGCTATTAGAATGCCCATTTTAGAACTTAATGAACCACGTTATATAAAGCTAAAGAAAGAGAGAAACCTTATGAAAATTGTAGCTGTAATTAATTGATATGATCTAATGTCTAGAAATTTCAGTTTGATACATCAAATACGCACATTTAAAGATTCATTCGATTAGTCTATCTGATTAAAATAAAGATTTCCATGTTTCTTTCTTCGGGTTTTTTTTCTACTGGGAAACAAGAATACTGATCCGGGAAAGATCAATGTCAAGACGTTTGGCCAAGGATCAGCTTCTGGAAAGGATCCTTGTGAATCTAAGTTGTCATCCTTGAATCCTTTAAACTATTTCAGTTTTTGACGCTTGGGCTAAAATTTTAATTGTGTATTTTAATTGGGGGTCCGGACGTGGTTCAACCAGTCCTTTCGGTAGTTGAGCCACTTGCATTGGAGCAACTAGATTTAAAAAAAAGAATTTCGTCAGACCATGATTAGCAATTGGAATGGACCACAGAATTGAATTTCTAAATCCGCAATTTAATCGGATTGAATTAAAGTAACAAAAGAACTGAATGAAAAGAATTTATTAAAAAACTGATATATGATAGCCGTATAAGCATCTTATCAAACGACAGAACTTCCGTTGTCAATTCCTGATGAAAGACATTTTATTTGGAATATCCTGTCACAAATATCCGAACATGACAAAATTCAATTTTCTGGAATAGACAAAATAATATATTATTAGAGAATATGGCGACGTGCATTTAAATTGATTGGGAAACATAACTTAGCAGTCGACAATTCTCGACATCGAATGCTAGCTGATACAAAGTAATAAAATATTACTTTTCTGATAACCCGGTAATATTTTAGACAATGCAAATATTTATGATCCAAACCGTGAAATGAAACCCGAAATCCAAAACAACATATTGGTTGCAGCTTAGGGTGTTGCGAGCGAAGCAGACTTACCAAACAATGCTTACTCTTTTTGAAACTCCTGATGATACTTCTCTTTTAGTCGAAGAGTCGACTACTATACAACTTTTACTCTCGATTTCACCAGCCTTTGGTTGAGATTTCGATTACTTATATCAATCATAAATTATATATAATGTTTGTTGGAGATAATTGTATGCTAAAGAGGTTTTGAGTACAGGGCTTCTGTTGCATCATTCTCAATCTATCTTTAATGGAAAGGGATCCTTAGCCAAAGCATCACTTTCAAGAACCAAAGCCAATAACCTACATTAATTGCCTTTTACACAAAACAGAATGAAATTCGTCCTTTATATATCATAAAGTGTATTTTCATTGTGTGACAACCAGGAAAATTCATTTGTTGTTATAAAAAAAAATTATATTCAATTAAAAAAAATTATACATTTTTCTATCAAAACATGGTAAAGATACAAGTTTTTTTTAGCTTCCGTTATAAAATATCGACATAATTCTTATCATAATATTCCTGATGAAAATAACATATAAAAAACCTTCTTGACATAATCACTGTATTAACCTAGTTGACAAAACCATTTTTATCATATTTGCATCTAAATGGCTTTATTATGCCGATAACCATTTCCTTAAGCGTACAACATAGGAAGGGTAAATCACTGCCATCTATTTCTACAATGCAATTACAGATACAATGGGATATTAGCACCCTAGTCCCACAGATACTATCAGGAGTTTACAAGAAGTTCATTCTCTTGTGGTTTAAAACTTCATTTTCTTTTCTCTCGCCTCTTCATCTCGTTTTTATTCCATTCCAAATGAATCACCAACACATCCACAAGGCACAAACCGTTTCATTTACTTGATTGAACTAACAAGATTTGACAAGACTGAATAGAAAATGAAGAAATGATCTGGTTCTTTGAAACCCTGACCTAATAACCTGTGATTCTTAATTAAACTTGTGTAGATTTAGTAGAAATGTCATGAAGATTACTTTGAAGTAATCTATATTGTTTATTTATTACATGGACGGGCTGTAGCAAAGTCGATTAGATCCGTTGAATCTTTCCATGACGTCATTTGCGTTAAACAAATATTGGTCTTGGATTCTCATATTAAAGGTCATCGGTTCTAATTATGGTCGGCCCGTGAAAGCCTTCAGACCTTGAATAAGTCATTTAATCTTATTATTCCTGTGGACCAGCTATAAGTTGGTACGGAAAATCCAAGAAAGATCAATACCAAGAGGTTTGGCCAAGGACCAGGTGGTAGACATGATCTTTATGAACCTCGGGAAAGTTGTCCTTGTTAAGTAGGATTCGTTCTTGTTAAACGCAAATGTTCGGCAAGTTATTGTTTCCAATACGTTTTTATCATAATGAAACGCAGCTTATCTGACAACTTCATTGTTGCATCAACTGTTACGGAAAGTATGTCATGCTTTCAGAAGACCAGATCATTTATATATCATATTATCTGCTTTCTACCTTGTAACAAAGCTTGTATTATTAAAGTCGATATAAACGGATTCATGACATTTTCAACGAAGATAAAACATCCAAACAAAGAGCAAAAAATCAAAAGCACATTATTTTAACACGGTGAAGTAACCCACGTAAATGTACTATTATTCAGGTTGTTCTTTAATCGGATTGTAAAGGTATAATCAAGCTCCATTACATGGTCTTCAAAACATCTTTTATAAGACTGCTAATGCCAGGTAATTATCGCCACAGACACTTTCTATATATTCTATAATTATATAATACATTCTACTCTTAGATGTACAGTGATTATATAAATATAATAGGTTTTAACACATTTCAGAACGTAATTAGACAATGTTTATAAGCAGTAACATTGCTCTTCACCTGTCAATACCCCGCGGGACATTTGGTGATTCAAGTCGTATGTCTTATAAATGAAATTTTAATTATAATGTCTTTTCTGAAGCTTTCAGAGACGACAAAAATGGTACATATTTCAATCATCAAAAGAGGTCTGGTCCATATCCCGTATTAAATTTTTCTTTGTCTTGGAAAACTTCCTCGTTTGTGTAACAGACTAATTTAAATTTGCCTTGTGTAGTAACCGAATACATGCTAGTAAAATAAAACAGAGCGTGTTGTCCTGTGATGTTTGGAAACCTAGGTATCAAAGAATTGTGTTGGTGATGCAATCCAACCATCTAACAGCAACTTTCAAACCGGAAGTAAACAATGTTAATAAAATTGGTTTTACATTATTATGAATTATTGAACCCGTACAACGGACCGTTTTATGTATTATTAACCATCCCAAAGAAGGGACACTGGAGAACCGATGGGTGGCAGAATGTTATGACCAGCAACCACACACTGATTTACTTCCGGTTGAGGCGATTTGAGCCGATGGTGGTTGTGTGATAGATGACAATTGAACGTCTGATTCCAGCTGAATTATCGTCCCTTATGCCGACCTATAAACACCAACAGATGTTACTTACAGACAGAGAATGTGGTTGTTCTGATCAAAACGCAAACCTGAGGGAGGCACAGTTAGGAAATTAAACACATGGACGATCTGCCGAGAGAGCGAAGTGTTACCTGTCAAATTGTGTTCAGTCCATTGCTGGTAAATTTTCCGATCGTTACGAAAATCGATATGCAGCATCCCTGTCGTGCAGACAAGAAATTAAGACCGGAAATGATACGTCGAAACTGTAGAGTGGGAACGGATTCAATGTGGACGGACTGACGCACAGTTCAACTCTAATTAAGGCCCAAACTTGGTGTGGGCGCATGATAATTAGAAAAACAACATCATGTTGCAACTAGAAAGGACAGCAATTTTTTATCAACCCGTCGGCATGAAACCTAATTCTTGTTGATTAACTCTTTCTTTTTTTAATCATCAAGTTAATGATGTTATACACTCAACAAAGTACCGTGCCTACAGACTTTTTTAAAGGTGCAGTGTTGATTTTTACTCGTAAAAAATATCCATCGGATTAAAATAGTGATTTAGATGGTTTTTTTCATTTAGTGCATGATCAGAAGAAATTGTTATGAAACAAATGTTCTCGGTCACTAACATATTCAATCAATTCAGTGTTCGTTGACACATTTAAAAACCTCTTGAATAATTCCTCGATATTTTTGGATATCCTTTTCATCGACTTGGCTTTAAATTGACTGAAAGATGTACGTCAGATCATATTTTATTCATATTGTTATATTCCATAAAGGAGAATCAGAATGTTCAAACCATTATTCAATGTCAAAGTCACAGACCAAAAGCTCAAAATTACAGTACGACCAGCTCTATGCAGTGTACAATGAGTGAATTTTGACAAGACGAGTATTTTTAAAGTATGTATTCTGTAAACATCATACAATTAGGACTTTAATTATTGTGAAAATTACATGGTACGCCATGACAAGATCAAATTAAACGTGATGCTTTCAAAGTCGTCATTAAGTAGAGAGTGTGACATTTATTAAGTCTGGGTTAATCGGGAGATTCAATGGTTAGGAAAAGACGGATATTGAGTTCATAACTTTCATTAAGTCTATAGATTAATGTCGTTTGATAACACCTCATTAAACCTGTTCTTGTGAGAATTGAATGGAAGAATAAATGAAAGAACATTTATAAAAATTGAAAGTTTGCTTGAGTTTGTCTATGGTATGATGCACGTTTAGATATATGGTGCACTGAATGGCGTCCGTAAATTTTGGGGCAGGGAGAAGGGGTAAACCGCGCCGTAGTCAAAGACAATTCTGAAAATTTACCTAGAGTCTATCTGAATAAATATGTAACGGTAATAATTCGAAGCATTCAGAAAACTGCTCAGTTTTTTTTTATTTTAATGTGGGATTCACTTTTCCACGTAACCTCATTTTCGCCATAGCGCGGACGCCCTTGGGAGCATCATACCATAAAATAACTTGCTAGGTTAAGTCCGGATTATATGGATGTAAGTTTGATTTATTTAGTCTGTGGATTTTTCGTCAAACCTCTCACTCAAAATAATATGAAATCCATTTTAACGTTTTACCGGTTAATAAAAACACAAAAAACATCTGAGAATCTAAAGAAAAATCTGAGAAAACAAGACATAGAAATGAACTAAAATGTTTGTTTAGAAAATAAGTGAGAGGAGTTACTTTTAAAAGAAAAATATTATCCCACGAAAAAAGCAATCCGATTGTAATTTCAAGGAATTAGGAAATATTGAGAGATGAGTTTAGAATGATCTGTTTTATCTATCATCCATCACGAAAACAAATATTGCACTGTTACTTGAATACATGTAGTTATGGACTGACTTTCTATGGAAATATGAAGCCGTTTTTTGTGGCTTGCTATAGTATCAATAAGCATCAACAATGTACACTATAGAAACGTGAAGGCTTCAGTAGATTTTGTAATCCTTAAAGAACTTCAACTGGCATTTGCATTCGTCTGTGCCTATTGTAACCACTGAAAACTGTTAAAAACGGACGTAGGGTATATCATGTATTTTGATTGGGCCTCTAATTTGTCACACGTTTAAAGTATGTGTGTTTTCTGGATATTTGTTAAGTAACTTGTGAATGGATTGGCAGCCTTTTATGACCCCCTTTCGACATAACTTGAGCATTTTAAAACCAACTTTTCAGGAAAGTTGGCAGAACCATACCACGGTTTTTGTTACTACCTGACTAGAAAAAATACATTTTGCTTTAGATCAAACTAATCATTGAGTTGCCGAGAAATTAATTTAAAGGCAATTAGTAGAAATGTTCTAGAAGGCAGGTTTTCCATTCATGATGAAAGATTGATTAATAGAAGACATTGAATCTATAAGTGTTTGAATCCAGACAGTTTGGTATTATGACTCTACAGGCTGTTGAAGCCTTTCAATGTGATCACACTCTGGCCGAATTAAGCGTGAAAATCTGTTGATCGAATCGTCTATTGTAGACTTCATCAATGATTAAGGTTTTGATGATAGCAAGTCCGAGGCAAGCCGACTGATTCCAGACGTTTGTTAGACGATTGCAATAATCAGCAATGATGAGTATACAAGATTATCAGACCACTGACATCGAGCAAAGTATAAGCTGTTAGTTAGGTGGATATGATAATTTCCAGATAGTCACTCCCCAACTGTAACATAAACCGAGTGAATACATAAGATAATTTGGCCAACTATACTAAATGATAAGTGAGTCAAAGTACAAAGTAAGTGTAGAGTAATATATGGGCAGGCGGAAATGAAAACTGGATCTTTTGTTCTGGGGATGGGGTTTGGCTTTTACAGCTCAGGAACCACGCAAATTCTCTCTGTCAACGAGAGCAACTGTCAGCTCAAAAGTGACTTAAATCTATCCCAACTTGGAGAACACCTAAAGACTCGAATGTACCAAATAGGACGATGGTGTTCTATTTCCTCGGTTTCCAACCTGGGGTGTTGCATGGACTAGGGTGTCAGGGGATGTCTCTTTTCTCCCCTTCTCCGTTTCGCCCCTTACCCATACCCCTTCTTAATTTGTCCCTACTAAATGTGGATGAAACACATTTTGGGGTGTGAAAGGTCCGAGTGATTGCTCCAGAGGTGTGAAGGCTGAAAAAGGTTGGGGAACCACTGTTCTATTGCAAAGAACAAACTGGAACTACCATCTCAATTTGGTTATTCAAACGAACACATGTTTTGAAAAATTTATGTATAAAAGTCAACAATTCACATATAACAATATAGGTACACATATAATAACGATGATAATGAAATATTGGGTGGGCGATGCTACGAGCCACAAGGATTTCATAAATCGGGCCTCAAATCTGACAACACAATCTATAGCACAGTCCTACACACAAATTATAGCTCAAAGCAACACAATCAGAGCATTGTCCTGTGCAAAAATAGCACACAACGGTATGTCTAAAGCCCAAAAATATTTGGGGCAGCACAAACATGGGAAATATTACACAAGCACTAAATATACTGGAACAACACAAATCACAAAGGATAAAATTACTCACAACGGACCTTCCGATTAAAATGGGTAATGAGGTACCACCGATAACACATACGAACATTGGGGCAGAGCTCATTGGGAAAGATTTCTAACCTGCTAAGAGCACACTATCTATCTGAACAGAGGCCATCCAGGTAAGAGCTCACCTAGATAAATTTCAACCTTTCAGTTGGAATGCAGTACTCATTCTGAAGAACATGTTGGTTGGTAGGTAGATGACAAGTTAACGGATGCTGATATCGCAAACTAGGTAGTTGTTGGTGGTCTGTGGTGTGCATGCTATTATCAACAAACCAAACTCTCACAGAATCACATGAGAAATAACGTGATTTAGAAGTAATTTATATTACACCAACACACACACAATGAAATAATTTAAAAGGGTCAAATATATATCTTTCATCAGCACTTGTCAAATTGTCAAAACATCTTAGAAATATGACCTAACCTTGAATATCTTAAATAGGAAGATGAAATTACGGGTGACACTGTCTCTAGTCTGGTAGAAATATAATTTGGGGCACTACAAATAAGGCTGGTTGGCAGATGACAAGTTAACGTCCGCTTACAGCAGAAACAGACTCGGTAGTTGTTGGGTATTTACAATGGAATTATATTTTTACATATACAGTCATTCACTGGTTCTATATACAATACGTTTCGGTTGAAAGAGGTTTATTAATATAAGTTCAGACGGGAAACATTAAACTAAAACAATTCTCTTTGTGAAAACAAAGACTGTGAAATACAGTGTAGAATGATAGTTTCGTAAGAATAAAATATAAGATTTAATGGTGATAAACGAGGCAGTCAGAATTATTGTCACCTCATAACAAATGTCTTTATTACCTCCCTTGACCATTAAACTTCTTAATCTCTATTAATAGTCAGTTTAATTGTCGCATTATATGGTTAGTAATATTGAAATATAGCCTTAGTACTCAGAATACTCATAATCAATATAACATTCTTCAATTTGTTTAGCCATTGATGCAGGTCGAAGGGGTCATGGAAAAATCGTCTAGTCGTTCCGATGGGACAATAAACCATCGACAGTTGGAAATCAAAAAAGAATAAAAAGCTAATGTCACTTTTTTGGCAACCTTTCCCTCATCGTATACTGCATGGAGTTGTCCGTCTTGCCGACTTAAGACCTGCAGAATAGGACATAAAACTCCATTCATTTTAAATCTGAACGTATATGATCATTAATATTGAAATAAAACCTTGTAGATAGTAGTTATCGGAATATTACTATAATCTCTCTAATACTCAATTTATTTAGGGATGTTGTTCTATTAGTGAGATTCTATTAACTACGTTGATGTTTTGTTGTACTCCAGAGAACAAACATGTCGCCTGGGTTATTTAGGAATAAAATGCAAGGGGAATATACTCTATTGTCATATCACACCATTCGTCTCCAATACAATATCAAATGTTATATCCAGATCTAGTTTACCAGTTAATCTATGTATGGTTCATTCAAACAAAAGCAGTTTACGTTTGAATAGGGACTAATGTACACATTGTATAGGTTTAGGGAATGTGCATTAATATCCTGAACAGATTTAAGAGATAAACGTATGTGCTGGGACCGTCTTAAGGCTTATTGATATATTCTGTATATTTTAGCTGTGGTCGACTGACGTTTCAAAGCATCCCCGTTGACATAAGCGAGACTCTCATATCGAGACATTGACTGACTACCACCAACTGCGATCTACTGGATAGTTTCAGATTTGTACCGCCAAGGTCGACGACTAGATCATGACTGCAACTACCAGTCGTCGGTGCGCACACAGAGGTTCAGTTGCTTGCCAATATACGACCCCTTTCTGATTCGATCTCAGCGTTCTTCTTGAGCTTCCCGTTTAACGACAGATGAAAAATTTTGCAATGAATAAAGCAAGTACTAACGATCCGAACAGTGTTTCAAGAAGGATGCATGTACTCAACTGGTTTACTATGATAGAAAATTTAAAAAAAGTTCTTAAATTCATTATCTAATCAGTTCACCGGAGGGATCGATTCTACCGCTATAGAAAAACTATAAAACTAACATTTTATATCTTCCCTATTATTGAAATTACAGATTTTCAGGAAATTTTTTATTTAAATCCCAATAATAAGGTTGTTACTTTTCGTCCTCAGGCCATGTTTATCTAATTTATGTTTAGAAAATAAATAATATCTATTACCCAATTCACCTAAAATGAAGTAAAAGGATTCGTTCACTAAAAGCAATGGTCTGTTAAATGCCAACCGAAGTCATTGCAATTTTGTGTTTTGCTGTAATGTGGTTTTCTTAAGCAGAAACTTGTCAAAAATATTGACTTTTGACGGTTTGAAATGTCAATTGTCACTTATTCAATTAGGAAATTGAGGTAAAAACTTTAAAATTAACCTTAATCATTTCCTTAACAGCAAGACGTCAACAAACTTTCTGTTTGAAGTTATCATGTATCTTGCACTGGGATTTGGTTTTATTTTCAGGTGAATTTTAAGGGATAAGGTACTGTGCCCGATCTTTACAAAATCAGAGTGGCAAGGACCCACTCACTTTCCAGAAACTAGGGTTCTAGCTTGTATCATTGACACAAGGGAATGGAGTTGAAACACCCACTGGATCAATCAGCAGCAAAGCTAGCATGGCGAACTATATTATCCATCTGAACCAAGTAGGCCCCCAATGTCACAATATGGTAATATCTTCTACTTTGTTTTATTTTTCAGTCTCCAAGTGTAAAACTCATCCGAATCATGCTGAAACTCAGTTGATATCTCGTCGTAAAGTAGCCAAGATGTTGATAGCTATAGTCATATTATTTGTTGTTTGTTATTTACCAGTCCATACACTGTTCCTTTTAAGGTAAGATGTCCATGCACTTGAAGGGAATCTAAGGAGGTTTTCTAAATTGTTTGTGTGTGTCGTTGACACTGATAGCATCAGTTTGCACTATTCAAAGTTTCAATCAGACGTGTCCCCGACACACATACAATATTTAGAAAACCCCTTCAAAGTCCCTTTAAATCCTTCAGTTCTTTGCAATAGTACATAGGGACTCGATTTATTTTAGTAACAGACGCTTTGACACCCATTATCCAAGATAAAACTTTTTCCAATTAAAGTAAAGAACAGAGATCACATGAAGCACTCTCTTGCCTCTTTATATTTTTATTCTTCTGTACAGCTTCCTTTTCATGAATGAATTTATCTATTCTTGTAATAGATTCACTTTAATACGATCCAATTTAATTATATTCATAGATATTGACCTCTTCCATATCTTTTTAATTTTAAAACAATTTTATTTTAAGTGACTTCTGAAGAATCAAGACTATCTATTGCATAGAAATCAATTAATTTGAGTTGAATTTGATCTTTTCCTTATTTGGATTCCCATTAAGTTTCTCTTAAAATACATTGTATTTGTGTTTTATAACGGTGAGATGGAAATGTAAGGCTTCTGTTAATCGTTATTCAATGAGAAACCCACTTGAATATAAACTAAAAAAAATAACATCTCGCAGGAACAATGTAATTAATAATAATGAAACATTGGCAGAGAAATAGCAGATAACAACAACTGGTTAAAATGTATAATCTTTCATTATAGTTCGGGGGAAGGCAATTAAAGGGAGAAAACTGACAACAAGCAATTCTTTGCAATCCAGCCTTTAACAAAAATAGCATTTTTATAACAAAAATTAGACGACCAATCAGATAAAAAAGGGCACATGATGTTTTTTGTTAATCTGTGTATTTGTTTGGGTTATGTCATTATCAATTTTAATATCAGAGATAATGAATCGGAAAGTGTTTTTAATTTGATTGTTAGGTGACAAAATTACCTTGTTAACTATGACTGATATAAAAGTATATTGATTTCAACGACATTGCAATAATTTCAAGTGGTAAGATGACAAGACATGATAATACACAGTCCGAAAACCTATGGTCTCTGATAGCTAGCTGTACCTTTCTTAATATATAGGACCGTACCTACGGCTTTCCAACTATGCTTAAGGCGAGTTTAAGTTTACATTACTTTGCCCTTAAAACGACTTCTAAAGGTTTGTTCAGCCTATTAGTTAAAGACAGCCGTATAATAATAGATACTAATAGATAACCGTATAGATGCCGATATTGCTTTTCTTGAAAACAACCTGTCCAAAAACGTCATACCCTGGTCTCTGTTCATTTCTATCCCTGACTGCCGTAAGCACTTTCTTATCTTAAAGTAGGCTACTAGCTTCATATGGTTGACCTTTTCCAAAATATTGCTTCTGGAGTCAACAACTTTCGGACTACCTAAAACATTGCCTCTTCAAGACAACATTCAAGGAGAGCTATTGATTCAAATCGACAAGCAGTTCTGAGGATTAATGTTTCAGTGAGCTCATTATTGTTGAACTTCTGTTCTATCACGCCAAGCAAATATAAATATCCATTTTGTTCGATTGAAATAGGTAACAATTATCTTTGTTTCAAAATTGATCGATACTTAAAAGGTCTTTTGTCTGAGAAGATCATTCTCTATATGATCTAACAGTTTAACATTTAAACTCGTGTTTGATGATGGTTTACGATTATTAAAATTTTTCTGTGTGTTATTGATTCAGTTGGTATAATTACTGCCTCCAAATACAGTCACGATTCCTGATTTTTTTCATTTTGTAATGGGCTTCGTTAGTCTATATTATATGTAGGGTGTTTCGAAATTCTTACCCCCTCCCCTCTCCCCTCTACTACATAAACTAAAATAGAAACAGATAAAACCAAAAGTGATTCAGAACAGGTATTCATTGAAGTTTCCCTCTTAAGTATTTTTTTGTGGTCGCTTCAATCTGTCAGCACCACAGACTGCATTCTTGAGTCCTATGAATTCAGCATCATCTGGCGAGTCGTGACACATGGAGCCTAACCTTACAAAAAAAAAATGAAAAAAAAAAATTCAATATTTCAGAGGAAAGGACATACTTAGATAACTGTTCTTTATTGTATTAGTGGTGCACTGTCAGTATTAAAGATCTTATGCCAGTAAAAAATCGCTGATTTTCTGATTATTCTCTTAAGCTCTTTAATCTTATTTGCAGCCTAATGTTCGTTGTGTGTTGAGCAGCTATTGTGGGTGTGGCGCCAGACAGGGTGTGCTTACCACTTTTCATTATAAAATATTTACTCATTTATGATTAATAAACTTCAAGTTCATAAGCTGCTGCTAATGTTTCGCCAATATCTTGTTTGGATTTCGGGTTTCGTTTTGCAGTTCGTATCGTTAGTTATTTGGATTATTTATCTGGACTGTCATATATATTTCAGGTCTACGGGGTTACTGCATCAGTTGGATATGAATTCACCAATCATACCTCTACTTTATCTAGTAGCACATTGGTTGTGTTACTTTAACAGTGCTATCAACCCAGTTATATATAACTTCATGAGCAGTAAGTAATTCTTAAATTGGACCTCATTCACCAGCGATCACCATTTGCGTAAGGTTGTGAAAAAGAAAAGCGGTCATAAGCATCGAAAGCAACTCTCGTGATACTGATTTGGGAGTTGCGTTCGGAACTAGTGGCCACTTCCATTCTTCGCAACCAATCGCAAGTTGTTATTGCCATGGTGTGAGAGCCCTTTTACGTCTTCTCCAAATATATTACACGGATTACTACTAGAAAGTAAGAAAAACATTAAAGCTCTTAGATTTACATGCTGTTATAGTTGAGTACCGATAAATGTCACATCCAGGAGCGATTCGAAACTGAATTTGAGCACAAAAGTCTCTTTTTATGATATCTAAACTACGAAAACACTATAAAACTATACAGTGAGAATTTCATTGTAATTTGGGATCAAAGGTATCCATCGTGTTTTTACGAGAACAATTATTCTGAAAATTTATCCAAATTCCAAACAGTCTCGTAGTTATTAAGATAAGTCGGTTAGAGTGCGTCATTTAGATATATTAGGAAGAAAAGTTAGTCTCTATTATAATGAGTTAAGCACACCAAGCTGTGTTTATCAGTGAATATTTACATATATAATCGTTTATTGTCGTATCACTGTGAAACTAATAACATTAATCAGGCTGAAATGGTTTTACTTATCTGTGTCGTTGAATATAGATCAGTGAATGAGTTTTATATGGTGTGATTTATTTCAAAAGTCCAGTTTATTCATCCTAATCAAATGACTCGTTAACTATTATTATGTCAATATCATGAAACGTTATTACTGGTCCAGCACGTTTGGAAGTTTTCTGATAAAATTTATAAGTGAATTCCAATATCAGTTATATATAATATGAACAGTTGAACATCTCCCTCTGAAATTCTTCATCTTGACAGAAAAAAGCCCTCTTTTAAAACGAAGTTTCTATTTTAATCAAAGTCTAGCCAGTTGGCGAAGGGAATAGTGTGTATCTTTCTTAATATTTCAGTGAAATTCCGAGCTGAATTTAAATGTGTATTTTCCTGTAAGCCAGCTCGACGAGCGAGAATGTACAGTGGGACGACGTTTGTGGCCAGCAAGTATCATGGGGTTAATACAGAATTGGAACCAACTATCAACGACCATTCTCTGGATCAAATGGACAGTGTTTGAGTTAAACGTCGTATTGGATTGTGTTTGTCACAAGATCGGGCTGTATTGTGAATGTTTTTCCAATGTGTTGATAGACTTACGAACAATGAGATTTTGTGATAAGGCTTTGTCGGAAATAACCTCGGTATGAAGGAGATCTTGCAACTGTGTCACAATATATATTATTGTTTATACGCATAAGTCGAGCACTATCAGAAAAATGCTGATCTATAGGAAAATAGTATGTACATAAATTTGATATTTAAACCTTTAAGAACAGTAACTGTATTACAATCAACAATAGATATTTCGTGTTCATCTGTGTTTCGTATCTGACAGCATCACTACGCGCTAACTAACCATAAGACAGATAATTTTAGGATGTAAATATATAGACATTATAATTACACTTTGTACATAGACGTTGATGTCTAATTTTCAAACAGTTGAGAGGGGAAGATACAGTCTGAAACACTATGTTGGTGTGCCATCGAAAGAAATAACTTGGACGAAACGAAACTTGTTAATAAAACTACATAATTAAGCTGGTGACTGGTGCACGTAACAGTATTTTCGTGTAATTTGCCCTTTTATATCCTTTTGGCACTTTATCCAATGGTCATCTATTCAAATAAACAAAGACATGTGAAATAGATACCCAAAGAAGATAAGATCTGTTTATGTATATATTATGTACTGTTACATATTGATATAATTTATAAATAAATATTGTTATTTGATTGTCCTATATTGTCAATTGAGACAAAAGCGTTAACTAATTCAAAATCTCGCCGTTATCATAAATGATTGGATGATTTACAAGTTAAAAGGACAATCCTGTTGTTTGATCTGAATTACCTCCCTTCATACGTGCAGAATTTAATTACAGAGCGAAATCATACAACACATGACCAAGATATCCTAATTTAATGCATACTAGTATTTAAATACAACGGACTAAAAATGACTGTAAAATGTGTGTGCCCATGTGACCAGAACGGGATCTTGGAAAGAGTGGCTGCTATGCTTTATCCTACCAAATTTGCGACCCGATTGTCAGCTTTCGTGGCTATTTCTCTCTTTCGATCCTGGCATTACTTCGTAGACATTCTTCTCAAACATTTTGACACCACTTTTCAATGATTAATCTTTGGTTTATTTCTGGAGATGTAGTTTGGTACTGAAAACTACATAAAGACATCACACACTTTGACAGAACGCCGTGACGAAACTCTCAAGGATTGTTTTGCAGTCGACGCACACTTACAGACTTTTTAACGCGACTGAGGCGTTTAACAATCTCGCCATCAAAGGCAGGTTAGATGAGGAGGAAAAGACATGCTACCTTTTTATATAGGAGATGAAGGAGACGTTGCGCTAGTTACACGATACGTTCATGGGCAAGCAAATGGATCCCATGGTTCATACAATAATTTCCAACGAGAAGTAAGTCTGGAGGACTCAAGAGGTATCAGTTGTCTGAACTTGAGATTTAACATCGTTAAGACGTGACTGTTCCATCCATACAGCACATACACAACACTGATATAAAAGGTACTAATTACAAAAGTGTATCGAAACAGTACATTTCTAAATCTACACTTTTCTCGTTACAGCAACTCAAATCTAACTGATGTGCTACTTAACCAGCACAGTCAAACTTCATAAACGGCCATTAATATTCAGCGTGTGACTTCAAATAATGTAAAAATCATCCCTTAAGCAATTTTCAACCAATTTTACCTCTGTTCAACGATATGTTTATACCCATTGCAGAAAGTTTATCAATACTTTGATTTATAATGATAGGAATTCACCACACCTTCTCTGAAATCAGACTGAACATTGATGTCTTTGAATGCTTGAACACAAATCCAAATATATAATCAAATGATAATTACCAATAATTAATTATTTAGAAGAAATTACAGCCTTAATCTAATATTTAATGAAGATTATCGACGATCTCGGATGATTTTTTCCATATTACAGTTTTCAATATTACCAACTGATAATTATACTAACTGGGGGAATCTAAATTTACCTCAGTTAAGAATGGAATGAATCTTCGAGTGTTCTAAGGCGGACCGCTTTTATCCCGGTGTTACGGAATCACACTCCCTTCAGATAAGACATCCTTCCTTTTGTTTACCATATAATTGCGATCATATGTGCACACCTTCTTACCATCTAGTATATCTTGAACAATATATGTCACCGTAAATAATGCGCACCAGTCCTGACAAAAAAGTTGGATGGCGCAAACACCATAATATTGAGTGCTTATATCGCGTATTTCACGGCTTTCGCCTATTAATGCTTACTTGTAAACTTGATTACAATATGAAAATGAATTGGAGGTCGTGCAATTGTGATCATCACATCTTCAACAGTTGCCAATTTAAACAAATTTCCCCTCGCCGATAGCCTCTTAGTTTTTTTTACTTTCAGAAATAGCAAAAATTTTAGGCTTCCTTTTTCTTTGAAACTGGTTTGATACTACCCCTCCGTTTCCGTTTTTAATGCAAACAATATTTTTAAATGTTCGTCTTATCTCGACCACTTTCCTAGCATAAATTACGGGATTTATAAAACTTATCAACGCAAATAAGCTATAAAAGCCATTTTGAGTAAAAAGTGTCACGGACTTGCTCTTTAAGGATGGGGAAATAGCCATCACCAAAAACATCACGTACATTGGAGTACCACAGATGAGAATAGGCAACACAACTGTTATGGTCGATTTTGTTGCTTTCAGATGCATTTGAAATTCCATTTTTCGTCTCTCAGTATCAAGAAAGGTTGGCACGATTTTCTGTATTTGATCCAAGGCTTCAAAATATAGAGCAAGTTGACAGGAAAGCGATATGATCACCACCATTATCATTGTCACACCGAATACACAATCAGCCAGTTGATTGGTGATGAGAACATAGTTACACTCTGTGATGGTTGAATAGTGAGGAAACACACTGACTATAGTGATGAAGGGATTTATCCAACAGCCTACCATGGCTATCACAAGCGTTTTCGTATTAACGAATTGACGATATTTGTACGGATATTTGACTGAAATAAGCCGACTGACAGATAAAAACATAACTATCATGAGGGTGGCCGCGGACAGAACTGACACTGTTAAATATCGTAGATAGCACTCTAAAGGATTATCATATAAAAAATACACAACAGAATAATGATAAATAAATGTCAAACCTAAAACAATGTCAGATATAACTAAATTATATAACGAGAAACGAAGAGTTTTATCTATACCTTTAGTTTTAGTGATGACTATAAATGTAATTGCGTTGCCGAGAAATGTTCCAAAACCAAAAATAATTTGGAAAATCGTCAAAGACAATTTTATCGTGTGGTTGCAGATCATACACGTAGAATCGTTAGTTGCGTTATTCATCTTGGTTCCTGATCAAGTCAGTAAACTTAATCATACTGAAATTATAGCCGTTGCGTGAGCTCGACATAAACCCTTAGACACGAAAAGTGTGACCACAGAATATTCCAGAACTTCTCGGGTACAACAACGTGATGTGACCAATTTTTTTTTAAAGCATGATAGAGTTCGCTTATACGTCTTTGGCAACATATACATTTTTGACATTATTCCAGCCTTAACAACTCCATTCCGGCATAGCTTCTTTCAAAAAAAAATTGTCAAACACTACACAAAGAACCAAGTACAATTCACCTCACCAAGGACGTTTTTTATATTTCTTGTTTACTTCATCAAGAACTTTTTCTATCTTTTTCATCACAAAGCGCTTTTTCTTGTTATTGTCATTCACTACACAAAACAATATTTGATTCCACTGCTAGTCATTGTGCAAAGGAACATTTAATTTTAGATCA